TATAACAGGCGTTTTATAGTTTATAAGAGGGGCAACACTCCACAGTCCAATATTACAGATATCTATAAATATTACTGTAGATTAACCCTCCCTTATTTACAGTAATTATACGACATTTTACACTGTCAATTATAAACACATCATAATTAATATCTCTTAAACATTTACAAGTAAAACAGCATATTCGCAAGCATTGAATTTATACTCAAAAATAATGTAAAATGTACTAATATTGTATTTTCCTACAAACATAACTGTATGAAGTAATTCAATTAGGTTGTTAATATTAAAATGGGAAGAATGGAATCTCCTTACTGTACTAAACTAAATGGAGTTGGCCATCCTGATAAATGTACTAAAATCATCTATACATACAAAAGCATATCATCAATTTTTGTCTTTGATACAGTTCTAAAAGTTGATAACAAACCCTGACCTCAACTTTAAATCTGCCATAAGAAATCTTTTAATAAAATACTGAATTTTGTAAATGTTGCACTATTGCGCATAATAAAAAATGTCTTTTAATATCATATATCACTCATGGTCAGACCATGGACCTATACATGTTTACTTTAACAGTAATGATTAAAAAATATCATGCATTAATTGCAGTTTAAAGGAAATCAAACACTAAGAAATAGAAAGGTGGGAAGTAAAATAAAGTGCGTAAATAATAGTTGACGATTACATTTTATTCTTCTTTCACATCTACATAATTGTAAATATCTGGCTTAAATATATAATATAAATAACACACAAGTATTATGATTATAATGTCAGTTAAACTTCCTTTTATACGGGCAGATGTAAAAAGGATATTCAGAGATTTTCTTTAAATTCTGATGCTGACGCTGCATATCTTTATGATTATTGATAAACATGTGTGTAGCCTTATGATGGATATATTATGAGGAATAAGAATGACCCTGAATGATAAAAATGAAAATGACATCACGTTCTCAGGTGGGACTGTTTGTTTTACTGTTACCATAAACAGTATGATGGCAGACTTGAGTGAAGTCGTCCGTGTTAGTGGCGGTACATGAGATGGTACTCATATTGATGAAGTTTATTCAAAATTCCTTGGAGAATAATTTGGTAGATGCTATTTTCAAGCTTCCAGAGAAAACATCACAAATGATTTTCTTGGTATGTTGAAGGAATTCGAAATAAAAAAGAGACCTATAAATATAAAAGAAGACAAAACTACAATTAGGTTAGCAGCTTCACTTTCGAAAACATGAAAAGAAAAAAAAGAGAAAAAAATCGAGAACCCTCTTGCATCAGTCGTTTTTGTAATCAATTTTGTAAAATTAAGCAGGAGTTGAATGTAACACTTGTGAAAATATTATTTTCTGGTTCGATCAACAAATTCAGCCAAACATGTTATAAAATGTTTGGAACAGAGAAACGAATTTCAGCGGAAATTGAAATACGATTATACTATGTTGGGGGATTTGCTAAATTGGAAATAGTTCAGGAGAGCGTGAAAGTAAAAATTAAACGAAAATAAAGAATCAATTGGTACCTAGCGAAGCCTGGCTTAGATGTTTCAAAGGGGAGCAGCCTTGGATATGAAATCAAGAATAAATAAACACATTTATGGATGAGGTATGATCGATGGAAGAAGCCAGAGAAGTACAAAGTTATTGAAAGCAGCCGCATCAAATGTAGATTTAATATTTTTGTTTATTTTATTTTGGTTTATCTGTTCGAGTTAATGATTTAAGATCCTGTTGAATAATGTCTTTAGAGAAAACTTTAATTCAAATACTTTGTGGATGGTGAAAGAAGGGCTTGAAAATATGCATCAACAAATGAAGTATCCATATTGCTGTTGGAACTGTAAATAGTTCAGATAAATCTCTCCAAAAACAGAAACATGATTGAAAATGCCATTTTGGAAGGCAGAAAAATCTTTTAAATGTATTTTTAATATGTGTTAATTTGCTGTCGACAAATTATCATATTGACTCATGTTCTATCACGGCCACATACTTGGCAAGGTCGTAGTTAAGAATACCACAATGTGCACAAATGAACCTTGTATGAAATTATATATTTTTTTTAATTTGTTGACATATTTCCATCTGATTTGTTTTGCTGCTTTTAAATACGTCTTTATTATCTTATTTCTTTGGCAACATGTTTTGAAAATTTCGACAATTAGTTTTGATTATTTAAATGATTAATTAATATTACACAATCAGATAATAATTGGGTACATTAACAATCTTCGTTTTTAATCACACTAAGTGAATTAAATAGTATGTAAATTTGTGTATTTGTTTCCCATTTTCACGCTAAATGTCAGTCATCGTGACTGTAAATTTATTTTAAACTGTGTTACTTCATATGCATTTTAATACTGAGAATGTTTAAACTTTATATTTTTATTGAATAGTAAACATAAGAGTATTTTCTGTAGTTTTTTATATATTTAATCATTACTATAGGTCTCTCCTGCTTCACTAAACCTGCAGTATGCGCAGTAAATGGTTACAGATCAATAGTAAGTTTCCGTTGATATACTCGACATGCATGACATTTCATTGGGAGCATAATATTTTCTGGTTTTAGTATTTAATTGATGCGTGTGCTTCATGTGTTGTTTTGCATTTGCTTTTGGCGGGAGAACAATTTTGAAACATAGTTCTTGCATACTCATATGTCTCGATTACTCGACCCGTATGCCTTCTTCAGTTGAGAGGACAAATGAAATGAAAGGTTGGAAATTATAAAAGTTAATTTAAATATTAGATTTCAAAACAATTATTGAAGTGCACAACATAATCCCAAATAGAAATGAACATTGATATACAAACATCTTATGAGATATCAGGGTAACGTTAATATGACATTTCTTAGGTAAACAACATCAACTCCTGTATCACAACGAATAAAGTAAAGTTCGTCTATTCTTAGGAATATGGTGTGCTCCGGTGTACATTATTGTGCTATCATTAGTGGCCATATTTGTTTATTTAACGATGAATTCAGTTTATTCATAGTTCATCAATAGATCGAATTGATTAAAAAAATAAACAGTAAGTGGTTAATATTTTAAAGTTATCTTCGTTCAAAGAATCATTTACATGTAATAAAGAAAATTACAATGGCCCAAAGTATAACGTGTGAATTCTATAGCCAATTTATATGCCTGAAATGTACGATGGAGAGTCTACTGATCCATGAATGACGAATTTCAAAATGTAAAATAAAGATGTAAATAGGAATAACTGGGGCAAGTTTTTTGCTGGTGATAAAAGAGGATTGAACTTGGACATGCAGATGTGGTGTCCATATTTCCAGAACAGCACTTCATTGTTGTAACATTTTTCGGTCCTTCGGGATCATTGAGTCCTACTCCTACAGTAAGAATAAAACGCATCAATGATTCGAAGCCCCCTTGTTGAAATCATATAGCCGGATGTTTTATGTTCTTTACTAGATTGAAACATTTATTTTTTACCACTGTCATATAGATTCCTATAGATTACACAAATACTAAACAATATCATGATGGTGTGGATTTAACTTACACAAATGTAGCTCATTATGATTATTTCTACTTTATGCAAGATATCACACATATGTATGCAAAACAAAAAGTTTGATATGGTCTATACATTACAGGTAAAAAGGTTGTAACCCATCTGAAGCCAAAACCGGGTCTATGCATCCCTGATTATATAATTTTATTATGTCAACTTGATTTTCTAACTGTGGATAACATAAAATGGATAAAAAAGTAAGCGTTCAAAGATCGTTGAAACCCAACAAAAAATGAGAAATAAAAATGAATGTTCCAAGAGTGCAGCTTTAGAAATTAGCGAATTTTTATGAAACCTTTAGGCCTTCCGAGCTCAGTCAGGAGGTTTCTAACATAAAAAAAATATTGTTTAGCTTTTAGTTCGTTTTATCGTAGCACCAATATGTTTAGGTCATATATCGACTTTCCAGGTTTACAGGGGGAGGAAAACATCTGGCACACTCCTGTATATTATTTAGGCACAGACGGGTACCTGAGTAAAACAACCAACGTGTCTTAGGCAAGCTGGACAACGTTCTAATATATAGAATCCGACGACACTTGCGCGGTTCGAACCTACAGCGTCGATAATCAAGTGGTTTGAAGGCAATGACTTTAACTACTCAGCCACGGACGCTTTAATTATACGTATATTCAGTTTGGAATTTACCATTATAAATTGATAAAAGTGTATTGCCTGAAATAAAGTTTTTTAAAAACACAGACATGCTACATTTATCAATGAAAGTCTGAAAATACCATTTTTTTTGCATTGCAAAAAGAAGTGAGGGACTATTTCATGATATCCCACACACGTTATTTAGTACATTTTTAATTTTTTAAAAGGGATTCTCTAAAATACAGTGTATATGGGAAAATAGGTGAAATATTGTGGTTCACTTATTATTGATTTAATAATTCGACAAAGTTGCCGCCTTTCGAAGTTACATGCACACCAGACAAGAAGTCACCAATCCATTTTCTTGCATATGAGACTGTAATTTCCGCTAGTTTTAGCCATGCCAGAAATTTCATCTGGCATGGGGGTGCCAAATGAGTCACGTGCTACACAATGACGTCATTTTAGCGAATTTTATAAATGAATCGATTTAAAATGGCGTCATTTCGGCGTATTTTAGAATCGAACTATGTGCTTAAGGTGGCGTCATTTCGCCGTTGTTATTAAATTTGTAAATGTATCCTCTATTGTAAGAAAATAGTTACATGTATGGATGAAATGACATGAACAAATTACTTATTGAGGGAAACCATTTAATATATAAAAGGACATGACAGAATATGCAAGAACAATATTTGACATATGTTTGCGGTTAAAATTGAAATATCCGTCCCTTGGGAACCCTCTGCAGGCCTCGTTACCGCCTAATTGGCAGGTACCTCGGGTTTGATATCCGTTGAAAAGGTTTTCCAACTACAATTCATGTCCAGGATAACTCAACTCAAATTTAAATGTTAATATAATGTTTATTTAACGTCAAATGTTTGCCTGGATAAAATAACTCTAACTAATCAAATAACTGATCAATTTTGTAAAAGAATACTGTCTGATGTTGAAAATATTGACATTCAATAGTAAATAAACCATTAATAGCCACATGAACAAAACATATAAAGCGTTTGTAAGAGGCTTCAAATGTATTTTTCAATCCCTCCTTAAGTTTATTTCCCCACCATCATTTAAATGTTTTTTTTTAGTTTTAAGTTCACTAGCTGATGTTCATAAGAATTTCGATCTTATTTTAATTGACGTCAATGTTTTTGTATGAAAATAGTTAGTAAAATGTTACATATACAAAAAATGAAAATAATATGTTAATGTACAAAAATATACATTGAAAATCTATTACGATTTTAAGTAATATTCTAAATGTTCTAAAAAAAATTAATGATTTGAATGTCTTTTCTATAATTCAAAGACAAACCTATTTTCATCCGTAAATTATAAACCTAGAGTTAGAATTAAGACGGTAACAAATGAAAATGGCATTAGAATGTCTGCATATGCTCTATTGCCCGAGTTTATAGATTCTGATTGACCATCAAGTTTGTAAATTGTAAGCTTTTCTGTTTGCTCAGGTTCCTTTACTTTGAAGACATGGTAGGACTTTATTATTACCTCTTTTTCAGTTTTAAATGCTGAGTACTTTTCAACCAATAATCCATACACATTTGATATCTCGAAAAGAATTCCCTTTTGGCATACGTTGTCAGCAAACATTACAGCCAATTCTCGAAGTAAGGTGGTACTTGTGATCTGATTAAATTTGAAATCACGTCCTTTTTCAGGACGCTCATTCAGTGCTGTACATCCCCTGTATACAATTTTATGTTCTGTAGGTCCGAGAATGTCAATTCCCCTGTTAATTAGATCACCAGATCGTTGCCAGATATCAGTCTTTGTGGGGTAGTTGTTGCGCATTTCCTTGTTTAAAGTACTGTAAAAAGGACTTTGTTGTGTGTATAGGTTGACAAGTCCTATTGCATACTTTCTATCCATGGTTTCATAAGAGAAAGACGCCATCTTTTCTTGTGCCGTTTGGACGTTTGATCTAAAGTCTTTGAGATCTTGAAACAATTCTTTTACTTCACCGGAATATCCGTCATCTTCTGTATCTATCAATTTAATAGCAATGCAAGCTTTAATTTTTATACCTTCAATTAGAAACAGGTTTCCAAAACACGACATTAATGTAAAAAGTAAATTTAAATAGCTACTTCCTTTTAAGAACGGAGCCGACAACCCAAATTTGTTCGCTTAAAATATTTATGTTATCATATTCTCAGCTTATGCAATTTATTTTCTACTAAACAGTTTTCTTTCCGCTTTGTAAAGTTATGAATGCGTATGTGCATAATGATTCTCAATTCTATCAGATTTCAAATTTAAAATAAAAAGGCAAAGAACAACAATTTCTCATGAACGTAGCGTTAAGGAAGTTAAAATACCAATAACATTTTCGACACACCTATTGCCTTAATAACGTTTCTATTTTGAGTAAATAATGTAAATAATAGTTTAACATCTCATTTTCGTATCAAAATAGGCAAAGAAAAAATAGATTAATAAAAAAGAGTGATATTGACATCGACCACATATAATTTCACAATTGTCAGAGTTAATTTATAATTTAACAAAAGAAGTGCATATAACACGTCTCAGTGGTAGTGACAATCACTGGATAAATGAAATTAGGGTTCTTCTTTAAAGTTATCTAATTTGTTTTGTTTTGCTTTTTTGAAAGAAAAGAAAGATTATTAAATTCCTTCGAAGCCTTAAACTTGCTGAAAGATGTAAAACACATTCAACCAATGCCATTGTTTTATGCATTTACATGATTATATATAAGTACTATTATCCATAAAACGTAGACCTAAGACTATATAGTGTACAAAAGTTGTACCAAAATAGATTATAGTTTATACAGGGATGATAAATACGCGCACGCTATGTTACAATATCATATACACATTGAATTGTATAATTATGCTTGCAGTAAATAATACAGAGATTTCGTTTATAGACGGTGACTTTTCAAACAGGGTAAACGAAGGAAAAATCTGTTTCACTCACATATTTCCCCATTATTATCAAAAAGAATAAAGTTTATATTGAACACAATAATATTCTTATAATTCTTGTCAATTGTTTAACAGTGATTACAAAATTAATGAAAATAAAAATACAAGCGAAAAAATTTTACATTTTATTTGGTTTAAATTGATATAAGTGATTTTGATTCAGACTATACATGTTTCAATACTTTTTGAAAGTACAAAAAATCGTATCAAATCAAAAATAAAAACGCATCAATTGCCGTAAATACATACCACTTTTTACGAGTCCTAAAAAACAACAAATGATGAAGAAAAAAATGCGCTCCATTTCCCAAATAATTTAACTTTCCTTCTAACAAACTACTTCTGTCCGTGAAATCTGTTAACGATTGACTGCCTTTACCTTATCACGCAATTAAATAAGGATAAATTATAAAATTACTACTTCCCCGTATTTAATCTGCGGTATTGAATTGCTTTTTGAATTAAAAAAACACAAATTGTTCATTATGAACTAAAACCTGCACAACTGCTCTGTTGTTTGCGGCACGCCAACCTTTTCTGATAGACATGTTTAACAGTAAGAATATCAATTATGAGTTTTTTGTGTTTCTTATTCACTTCTTGTCAGACTGACCCGGTCATGTTATACAAGTAAAAAGATAGAATTGCCTACATGCCTAAGACCTAAAACATTAACAGTAATAAAAATGAGAACAAAAATAATTGTTGTAAAAATGATTAAATGATTATTATAAGATTTCTTTTTTGAAAAATTGGAGACACGTTATTGTTCATTGATTGCACTAAGCAATTATTTCAGTGTCCCGATATATAATCTTTCAATAAGAAATAATGGATAATCTATCAGTTTAAAAACACAGTTAAGATAAACTAAATCGCGTCATTTTTATCAGAATTATAAACGACTTTAGAAAACATTGAACTTCATGATATGACAAAAGTAGACGTTTAAAGTGTACTTATACAGACATATAATGCAGAAGTAAAATTCAATTTATCTAAACTTTGCATGATCTTAAAACATGGTAACAAGCGTACATTAGAGGAGTCACCGTGCTCGTTTTCTGTTCATGCGCGCTCATTTCATCCTGCTTTGTAAAGTTATGAATGCGTCAGGTGTAAATTGACTCTCAATAAACGTAGCAGAGTCCAACAATTAAATCAAATTTTTACATAAAATAAGATTCTAGAGAACAACTGTCTGTCATGAACATAGTGATTTTACACAAAATATCAGGTAGACATGTATATAAATAGGAAGTATAATAATGTCTTCCTGTTTCTTTCGCAAACTTACCGCGTTAAAGATATTTCTATTTTGAGAAAATACAAATGGTAGTTAATATCTCTATTTATGTATCAAAATAGGCAAAGAGTGATTTTGACAAAAATGATAGTGACTTTTTGTCAAAATGTTCGCTAGTTTCAGAACGTTTTTTGTCATCATCGGCAGCCTCAAAATGGTATTATTGCCTGAGTTTTCCAAAATTTTATCAAAGAGATGAATTGGACGTCTTATCACTGAACTAATGTTTTACGGGTTTTTCTTTAAATTTAGCAACAACTTAATTCTTCTTGAATAGAGAATGATAAAACTAGTTTCTTCAAGACGTTTACCCTTCTTGGAAGATGTATACTATATCCAACCAAAGTCATTGTTTTATCTTAATACATAATTATATATCAGACTTTGATATAAGACAAATAGTGTAAAATTGTACCGAAATGGATTATAATTTTATACAGGGATTTTACATTAGCCTACCGCGACAATATCAAGGTTAAACATGAAAATAAAGTTTGAATGTTTCATCTGTATCTCTTTAATGCAACCGTTGGGTCAATTCTCTTGAATTTTACATTCTTCTTTTTTATATGGTTAAATAAACATGGAGCATACAGTGTCAAATCGAAACTAACTTGTCGCGCGTCAAAAACCTGATTCTAAACTTTTGTTTAAAAGCTTTTGTTCGTTCAAAATATTTTGTATGCATCTAAGTGCAGATTATCAATTAAACATTTATAATTTTTACTATTTAAGCAACCATAATTTCTTTACTAATTACTAAACTCAATACATGAACGCGATGTACTAACAAATGAAATTCGAGATGTATCAACTACACGACTGTATAAAAAATATGTATTAGGAGTTCAAACGCTTTCTTGTTGCTGGGTCAATGGGGGTTGTGTTCATTGAACGCCGCCTTTCCTTGTTGATCTTGTTTATCATATTTTTTAATCTAATATAAATATGTCTGATTTGTGTACTAGATCCATTCCAGTTCGAAATTACCAACTGATAGGAAAGTCTCGTATTTTTATTTATTACTTTTATTTTTTTGACAATTTTAAAGCGTAAAAGGCTATATGTCTGATGTCTGCAGTTTAAAATAATATTATATGTTAAATTTTGAAAAAGAATACATCAAAAATACGTTTCTGAAATAAATATTTGTACTTAACTTAACGTGCGAATTGCGAAATCATTGCTAAACTATCAATACTTTGTTCCGGCTCATTGCATTCAGTTTATATAAAATATTCATGCGTGTTAGTCTATAATTTACTTCCTGTTTTAATATTAAGACGGACGATTAACGTAAAGCTATATCCATCCTGGTTTACTTCTAGGAAACAGGCAGGACAAAACATGGCAGGTACATATTTGCAATATGCAAAAGATTTCATTTTTAAAGTAATCTTATAGTAATTGGTCATTATCATTTACCATTTAACATATCATATAGTGTCTATTTTTATTTTAAGTGTAGTATTAGAGCACACTTTAAATCTGTACTTGTTTTATTATGACGTTATAAAGACTGTATAAGTGTAAGTTTCTACGATTTACAGGACATAAAAGCTCTGACTTGATAAAACAACAAAGAATAACAGAAAGAATTAAGAACGTTTTTTTATCAGTACGCTTTGGATATTTACGAGTATCATGTGTGCAAATTTATGCCCTCTTATTACTCTAAGGCCCATTTCTTAAAAAGTATTTTAGTTAATACTTGTTTAAAAATTGGAATGCATTTATAAAGGGCAGGTTACTTCTTCTCTTAGTAATGCCCTTTATGATTTTTAAATTCTTGGTGTAACTTTATTATTTCATTTGTTCAGGTACACTTCTCATAATGAACCATAGATATTCATTTAAAGTTGAAGTACTTGTTCACTTTGAAAAAGACAATACAGTTAAAAAAAGACGATTACCGGATTAATTCGATATTGTTAAAAGGTGAGTAGTGACGAGTGACAATGCAACATCTGATTGCCTCAAATAAAAGATGATCTCAGTGTAAGAGAATTCTTTGGTGCTTTAATTTCATGCCACTCTTTCATGTTTAAATTCAATTGATTCTGTGAAGTCTTCTTTATCATATAACATACACATTTCAATCTCTATGTGTTTTTAACAGGAAACGTACCCAATAAAATGACATCGACAAAGTTAGTTGTTGGTGCTATAGTCTTTGGGACAACGTATTCAGGATATGCATTCTCCTTTGCACACGACTATGATAAAGACCCAATGAAAATACAAGCAAACCATTGGATTGGTGGAGGACACATGTCTCTTAAGTACGGTGTCCTTATCGTGCCATTTAGAATGTCGTCCGTCGCGTCTAAGGGTAGACACACGACAATGCGAAGTGACATCGCGACAATGCAAAGCGACGCTCGACAACGCGAAGCGATATGCGACAATGCGAAGCGACGCTCGACAGTGTCAAACGATATGTCGCACTGTCGCCTAGAAATGTCGCGGTAAAAAAGGGCGACATTTAAGAAATGTCGCTTCGCGTTGTCGAGTGTCGCTTCGCATTGTCGAGCGTCGCTTCGCGTTGTCGCGATGTCACTTCGCGTTGTCGCGATGTCACTTCGCGTTGTCGCATTGTCACTTCGCATTGTCGAGTGTCGAGGTTGGTAGAAGTGCATACCACGACACTCGACAATGCGAAACGACAACGCGACAATGCGATACGACGCTCAACAATGCGAAGTGACACTCGACATCGCGAAGCGACATTTTTAAAATGTCGAGTAAATGTCGCGTTATTTTTATGATTTTTACACCGCGACGCTCAACATTGCGAAGCGACACTCGACAATGCGAAGCGACACTCGACAACGCGAAGCGATACTCGACAACGTGAAGCGACACTCGACAATGCGAAGCGACATTTGGAATAATATCGTATCGCATTGTCGTGCGTCTACCGGTGCTTGGTCAGAATTTACTAACTCACCGACAAACGGTGCGATCATGGAAGGGGTCGCACTAAACTGCTGACGAATTAGCTGACGATATAGATATATAGGAAACTGCTGACCAGTTAAATAAAGAAGGATTATCGGAAAATGCTGACCAGTTACACAAAGAAGGGAAACATTGAAGGTGTGAAGTTATATAAACACGCCGTAGGGGGTAATAAAAAGATGGGAAATTACTTTTATTCTTTTAATTATATTTTTAATTTTTGCATTTATATGACTATGTTTATAAACTAAATTAATATATACATTTAAAGTACCATAATATCATACATTTTAACACGGATTTACATTACTACATGTAATATAAATCCGTGATTTTAAAAGGATATATTAAACAGCTTTTTATACCTCTAAAGATATGCAAAAATTTGAATTAATGTTTTATAAAGAATTATGATGTTATGAGTTTTATCAAAATCTCTTGTTAGTGATATTTCAATAGAAAAATCTTGTAACGGAAAAAAAATGTATTTTCAAAAGCAATAATTGCAATTTGAATTAATATTAAATAAGTCAGCAGTGTTTTAACTTAATTAAATGTCGACAAAATTTTATACAATATATTGAATTTCGTACATTATAAAATGAATTAAAATTTCACGACAAAATATATTTTTTTCTATATTTCTAACTGGTCAGCAGTTTCCCTATATATCTAACTGGTCAGCAGATTCTACTACATGTGTATATGTTTAACTGGTCAGCATTTTCTCGCCTGAATGTAAAGAGCGTTAAATTTGCTAACCATATAGAATAAGAAGAGTTTTACGGCTTAAATCAATTTGAAATAACATTAAATTGGTCAGCAGTGTTTTTACTTAATTAAATGTCGACATAATTTTATAAAATAAATTGAATTTGCATACATAATAAAAATGAATTACAATTTCACGGCAAAATATATTTTTCTCTATATATCTAACTGGTCAGCAGTTTCCCTATATATCTAACTGGTCAGCAGATTCTACTATATATGTTTAACTGGTCAGCATTTTCTCGCCTGAATGTAAAGAGCGTTAAATTTGCTGACCATATAGAATAAGAGAGTTTTACGGCTTAAATCAATTTGAATTAACATTAAATTGGTCAGCAGTGTTTTTACTTAATTAAATGTCGACAAAATTTTATACAATATATTGAATTTCGTACATTATAAAATGAATTAAAATTTCACGACAAAATATATTTTTCTCTATATATCTAACTGGTCAGCAGTTTCCCTATATATCTAACTGGTCAGCAGATTCTACTGTATGTTTAACTGGTCAGCATTTTCTCGCCTGAATGTAAAGAGCGTTAAATTTGCTGACCATATAGAATAAGAAGAGTTTTACGGCTTAAATCAATTTGAATTAACATTAAATTGGTCAGCAGTGTTTTTACTTAATTAAATGTCGACATGATTTTATATAATATATAAAATTTGCATACATTATAAAATGAGTAACAATTTCACGGCAAAATATATATTTTTCTATATTTCTAACTGGTCAGCAGTTTCCCTATATATCTAACTGGTCAGCAGATTCTACTATATGTTTAACTGGTCAGCATTTTCTCGCCTGAATGTAAAGAGCGTTAAATTTGCTGACCATATAGAATAAGAAGACTTTTACGGCTTAAATCAATTTGAAATAATATTAAATTGGTCAGCAGTGTTTTTACTTAATTAAATGTCGACATAATTTTATAAAATATATTGAATTTGCATACATTATAAAATGAATTACAATTTCACGGCAAAATATATTTTTCTCTATATATCTAACTGGTCAGCAGTTTCCCTATATATCTAACTGGTCAGCAGATTCTACTATATGTTTAACTGGTCAGCATTTTCTCGCCTGAATGTAAAGAGCGTTAAATTTGCTGACCATATAGAATAAGAGAGTTTTACGGCTTAAATCAATTTGAATTAACATTAAATTGGTCAGCAGTGTTTTTACTTAATTAAATGTCGACATTATTTTATAAAATATATTAAATTTGCATAATGAGTAACAATTTCGTAGCATTTAAATATATTTTTCTCTATATATCTAACTTTTCAGCAGATTCTACAATATGGTCAGCATTTTAATAACATATTTTTGACTGTTTATTGTATTTTGTCATAGATAAATCAAGAATGACACGTCGCGTGTGAAATCGATTTTAATATGACCTTGGGGCATATCGATCTCGATAAATTATCAGTTTAATGGATATCTGTGGAAACATGTTGTTTATAATGTAATAAAAGCTTATTAACTATAACAATTAGCACATTATTAATTTTTGTTCAATATTACTTATACAATTATACGAACAACAAATAAGGAAACGGAAATCACTTTATTTCATATTTGCACTAAATACGACATAATAGTTATATTTTGTTAAAATATACATTACGTATATGTACATGTATATATTTTAACCTATGATGCATAGTTTTATACATACTTGAAACAAATTATGATTTTTCGTACATCATATTTTGACTACATTTTTTAAATTTTAACCAATATATAACACATAGAAGAAAATTCATTAAGGTACTTAAATAAAATATTATATCAAAATAAATTGAGAAATATACAGTATATATCAATTGAATTTTTTATAATTAATATGTATCATTTGTAATATTGACATCTTGAAAAAACATTTTATCAAGTATTTCTCTCGACCTCGCCTGTAATATCACCAACGGCAATTTGACACCTTCATTGTTTTCCCTTCTTTATCTAACTGGTCAGCAGTTTTCGATAATCCTTCTTTGTTTAACTGGTCAGCAGTTTCCTATATATTCTATATCGTCAGCTAATTCGTCAGCAGTTTAGTGCGACCCCTTCCATGATCGCACCGTTTGTCGGTGAGTTAGTAAATTCTGACCAAGCACCGGTAGACGCACGACAATGCGATACGATATTATTCCAAATGTCGCTTCGCATTGTCGAGTGTCGCTTCGCGTTGTCGAGTATCGCTTCGCGTTGTCGAGTGTCGCTTCGCATTGTCGAGTGTCGCTTCGCAATGTTGAGCGTCGCGGTGTAAAAATCATAAAAATAACGCGACATTTACTCGACATTTTAAAAATGTCGCTTCGCGATGTCGAGTGTCACTTTGCATTGTCGAGCGTCGTATCGCATTGTCGCGTTGTCGTTTGGCATTGTCGTGTGTCGTGGTATGCACTTCTACCAACCTCGACACTCGACAATGCGAAGTGACAATGCGACAACGCGAAGTGACATCGCGACAACGCGAAGTGACATCGCGACAACGCGAAGCGACGCTCGACAATGCGAAGCGACACTCGACAACGCGAAGCGACATTTCTTAAATGTCGCCCTTTTTTACCGCGACATTTCTAGGCGACAGTGCGACATATCGTTTGACACTGTCGAGCGTCGCTTCGCATTGTCGCATATCGCTTCGCGTTGTCGAGCGTCGCTTCGCATTGTCGCGATGTCACTTCGCATTGTCGTGTGTCTACCCTTAGACCCGACGGACGACATTCTAAATGGCACGATAAGGACACCGTACTTAAGGTAACCATCACATAACATGCAAACTCAAAATGAATAAATACTTACAAATATATTGAAACACCCGTGATATTATTGAGGTTATAAGATATGCAGCAATTCAGATCATCAAACAATAGAAATACATGTGAATATAAGGAAATATGATTGAAACGATATTCTTGTAAAATAAAAATTTATGAATTTCTATCGTCTTATAATTTCACGTAGTGGCAGAGAATCCTTATGTGGCTACATAAAGTTATTACTTTACTACATGTACTATAGATCAACATTTTGATAAAATATTTTAGATAAGTCTTGATAAGATTACTGAGTGTAAACAGCATATATTAATCTTGAATTTTAAATATCAGGGTCCTCTTACACATCATTGACATTCTTCAGAATTTGAAATGTATTAACCTTTTTTAAAATGATAATCACAATCTTGAATATACTCGTACATTTCATTACCTGATCTTGACGGAACTTTTCGTCTATCTTGGTATAATCATTAATCATCTTATGGAAAAAGCTTTAAAAGTAAATTAAAAATTATACTAGGCAATTGGTTATACTTAACAATTTACTGTTAAAGATTATAACTCGAAAAAATTGATGTTGAACAGCTGTGGTTTTGAAAGTCACAAACACCGCAGCTTTATACTTCTAAAATTCGAGAAAAAAATTTCTTTAGATCAAATCAGCAGAGTTAAGCAAAATGTGTTTCGGTTATATTACTTGCATGAATTGTGTATAAATTAAATCAAACAGAATTAACAGTATTGTTGCCAAGTCTAGCAATGTCTATACAATCATCACAATGTAAGTGTATACATTGCCATAGTATAAACATATAATTTAAGATAATTGCCCTAAAGTATAATGAATAAGTGTAAGAAAAGGCTCACATAATATCATTTTATTCCCCGTGTTCAATATATTTAGTTATACACCTACACGAATGAAGTATCATTTTACCCAACAAATTAAAGACAGAAAATAAGGGATTATAAAGTCTGTCTGTCAAACCGGCCCTGTAACTGTTCAATGTTTGCAAATTATGCGACATTCCAGATTTTAATTTATTTTCAGGCCCCAACAACAATTCTTTTCACACCTGAAAAGGTTTTCCATTCATTTGGATACCAAACAGAAGATAAATACGCTGATCTTGCTGAAGAAGATAATCATAAAGATTGGTATTACTTTAGGAGGTTTAAAATGATTCTACATCAGAAAACTGTAATATTTCAAGTGCTACATCACTCAGCTACTAGTTTGATACTGTTTAGCAAGGTTTCTTAGGTCGTTTGTATTATACAAATCTGTTAAAGTGCTGAAACTTTTAATTGTTCCCGTTATTATTTTAAGTATCAATCTTTAAAAGAAACCACATGACATTTAAATGAAAGTAATTTTATGAAAATCAGAATGCCAAACACGAGATTGTACTATATGTTTGTAATTTCATGAACATCAGACATTGTCAAGAAAAACATTATTGTATGACGAAAACAAGAAAGCGATGACGGCTTTACATGTCTTCTCGTCTGCGAAAAATTTTCTTAAAGACCATCTTTGCGATGAAATATCAAAGAAAATGACAGAATTTGAATAACGGGATATTTTTTGGGTGCTGACTGTACCTGCGATATGGACAGATGCAGCTAAAAAGTTCATGAGAGAGGCTGCTGTAGAGGTGAATACATTTATTTTTGAAAACCAAACTTGTCCGTTCAGACATATTCTAAAATTCTAAAAAAATGAAAGTTGAAAAATAAAAATGGGGTTTTATACAACAGGTTTATATATTATTTTATTATTTTATTTGTACTCAAAAATGGTTAAATTTTAATCTCTGTTAAAATATATTAGCTTTTTGTTGACAAGTACTTTTAAATATAATTATATATATTTTATTTAACGTCACACCAGTTAACACTGCGAGTAATTCTTAAAACATATTTTGAATAACCATTTTTATTTCACAGGCAGATATTAGGTCAGAATATCTATCCTTAGCACTAGAACCTGAAGCCGCCTCCATGTTTTGCAAATTACTTCCTGTCGACTGTCTTAAGCTGAACAGTTCGAAATTCGTTGAGACGTTTAAGCCAGGAACAAGTTATATTGTCCTTGACCTTGGAGGTATGTTGATAAGTGATAAGATTTTCGTGCGGTATTAAGAATATACAAAGTCACGCCAAACAAAGAAAGAAAGCTAAACATTATGCATACAATTCTCTATAATATGTAGTAATGATTGTGATTGCAATAATAATACAATGTCTTTAAAAATAAGCAAATCAAGCAATATAAAATCTTATCACTACGATAAAAAAATTTTCTGGTCGTATACTTTTTACCTGACGAGGATTTCATTGGTGTAAAGGTAAGACGACGTTAACTCCTCTGTGCGAGGGAAGAAATCAATTCTTTACAAGTACTTTTAAAAGATAATGATAATGTTTTTTGTTGAAATAGTTATAATTCTTTTAAAAAAGAAGGTCAGGAAATTTAAACAAACAAATTATATTGCATTGGGGAATTATAGTATGATGTTAGTTTTCTGTTTAATAAACTGACAAAATATGTATTTATATGTGTATGTAAACTTAACGACAATTGAAGAACTTGGAAGATCCTGAATGATAATCATAGAAATGTAAAATCTTTTTCAGGTGGCACCGTTGATTTGACTGTTCATCACATAGAGTATGATGGGAGACTTAGTGAGATCGCTCGTGCAAGTGGAGGTGCATGGGGTGGTACTCAAGTTGACGAAGCATATTTAAAATTCCTTGAAGAATTGTTTTGTAGATGCGTTTTCCAAGCTTTCAGAGAAAACAACACAAGTGATTTTCTTGAGATGTTGAGAGAATTTGAAATAAACAAGAATGTCGAACGACACATATACCCCCCTTTCTAGCCATTGACTCACATAATTGGTAATTTTATTTAAGAAACTTGCCAAAAATGGGTACATGGAAGTGTTCAATTACGGAAAAATCAACGGAAACCATTTTGACATTTAAGGCCCATGTGACATTGACCTTTGACCTAATGACCCCTAAATCAATAGAGGTTATCTAATACTTATGACCAATAACTAGGTGAAATATGAAGACTTTGTGATGAATACTTTTCAAGATAATCAGCGGAAACCCTTTTGACATTTAAGGCCCCTGTGAATTTGACCTTTGACCTAGTGACCCCAAAATCAATAGGGGTCATCTACTAGTGATGACCAATCACTATGTGAAATATGAAGACTTTGTGATACATACTTTTCAAGATAATCAGCGGAAACCATTTTGACATTTAAGGCCCCTGTGACCTTGACCTTTGACCTAGTGACCCCAAAATCAATAGGAGTCATCTACTAGTTATGACCAATCACTATGTGAAATATGAAGACTTTGTGATGAATTCTTTTTAAGATAATCAGCAGAAATTATTTTCACATTTTAAGGTCCCTGTGACCTTGACCTTTGACCTAGTGACCCCAAAATCAATAGGAGTCATCTACTAGTTATTACCAATCACTATGTGAAATATGAAGACTTTGTGATGAATTCTTTTTAAGATAATCAGCAGAAATTATTTTCACATTTTAAGGTCCCTGTGACCTTGACCTTTGACCTAGTGACCCCAAAATCAATAGGGGTCATCTACTAGTTATGACCAATCACTATGTGAAATATGAAGACTTTGTGATACATACTTTTTAAGATAATAAGCGGAAACCATTATGTGATTTAAGGTCCCTGTGACCTTGACCTTTGACCTAGTGACCCCAAAATCAATAGGGGTCATCTACTAGTTATGACTAATCACTATGTGAAATATGAAGACTTTGTGATGAATACTTTTCAAGATAATCAGCGGAAACCATTTTGACATTTAAAGCCCCTGTGACCTTGACCTTTGACCTAGTGACCCCAAAATCAATAGGGGTCATCTACTAGTTATGACCAATCACTGTGTGAAATATGAAGACTTTTGTGATACATACTTTTCAAGATAATCAGCGGAAACCATTTTGACATTTAAGGTCCCTGTGACCTTGACCTTTGACCTAGTGACCCAAAAATCAATAGGGGTCATCTACTAGTGATGACCAATCACTGTGTGAAATATGAAGACTTTGTGATACATACTTTTTAAGATAATCAGCGGAAACCATTTTGACATTTAAGGTCCCTGTGACCTTGACCTTTGACCTAGTGACCCCAAAATCAATAGGGGTCATCTACTAGTTATGACTAATCACTGTGTGAAATATGAAGACTTTGTGATACATACTTTTTAAGATAATCAGCGGAAACCATTTTGACATTTAAGGTCTCTGTGACCTTGACCTTTGACCTAGTGACCCCAAAATCGATAGGGGTCATCTACTAGTTATGACCAATCACTATGTAAAATATGAAGACTTTGTGATAAATACTTTTCAAGATAATCAGCGGAAACCATGTGGTCTACCGACGGACAGACCGACAGACCGACGGACGGACCGACAGACAGACAGACAGACCGACATTAGCAAAACAATATACCCCCTCTTCTTCGAAGGGGGGCATAAAAAGAGACCAATAAATAAAAGGAAAGAAGGCAAAATTGTTATAAGGTTCGCAGCTTCACTTTCGGAAACATACAAAGAGAAATGCGGGAAACCTCTTGCTCAACATATATTGCCCGAACATTTGGGATCCTTTGTCCAAATTAAGCAGGATAAAATACATGTTGATGCAAACACAATGAAAAAATTCTTTTCAGAATCGATCAGTAATACAAGCAAACATGTAAGGAAAATTTTGGAAGAGAACGAATTCAAAGAAATCGATACATTATTGCTTGTTGGGGGATTTGCTGAATCGGAAATCGTTCAGGAGAGCGTGAAAGAAGCATTTTCAAACAAAAGAATCATCGTACCTAGCGAACCTGGATTAGCCGTTTTAAAAGGGGCAGTACTGTTTGGCCATGATCCTTTGGTTATGAAATCAAGAGTAAGTAAATACACTTATGGAATAGAGATCATAGATAAATTTGTCGAAGGACTAAGCCCAGAGAGGTACAGAGTTTTTGAAAACGGCATTTATAAATGTAGGTATACCTTTTGTCCATTTGTTCGAGCTGGTGAATTAGTTCCAGTTGGTAAAATCGCCAGAGAACACTTGCTTTCAGATACCTTTGATGTGAAAGAAGCCTTGGAATATATGCATCTACAGAAGAATATCCAAAGTATGTTGTTAATGAAAGCTGTTTTCGAATTGGAACTGTACACTTCGATGCACCTCATCAATCCTACATGCTTGAAATGCATTTTGGAGAGGCAGAAATCTGTCTGAAATTTATTTTTGAATCAGGTGTAAATAAAACAGAGGAACTGGATTTCTTGTGCAAGTAGGGGCAAAAACCTGAAGCATGGAATAGAATATAAATAACACATGGGTTTGTGGGTAACAGTAAAAATATCATTCCGAGGAAAATACTGTTACCCGAGGCGTAGATGATGGTAACAGTATTTTTACGAGGGATGATATGTTTACTGTTACGCACAAACCCATGTGTTATTTATTTTATTACCCCGAACAAATACTGTGATTATCTGAATTTGTAAACTAAATCTTACTTTAACAAAAATAAACCAAGAGTAGCAATAACTAAACTGTCCTTACCTTGCAAGTTTTAAGTGTACTGTAGGCCTACTTGAGAAGCTGTTTTTCTTTTATTCTTTAAGCAAGTGATGATATCTATCTACCAGTCATAAACATACAATAAGTTGTGTTTTATTTAGAAAACAAAACACTTACCCATTTAAAAGGTTATGATCTGTGAAATCTGATCATTCTGTATCCAGAATATTCTTCGCATGGTTTTTGACAAAGTGCATTTACAAAATAATGATGATATCCTACAGATGTCTGTCCACCAACTCTATCTGTAACGTTACACTGGTTAAAATTGTTAAATAAACCTTTGTCGCATGCTTTAATCGTCTGCATGTTCCAGTTTGACACAAAATTATTCACATTACAGTTACTTCCGTTGAAAACGGATGTTAATTTTTTGACTATTCAACAAAATGATATTTTATACGCGAAAAGAACTCTAGGGTGCAAAGAGAGTCATAGTTACTTTGGTGATGCACTAGGCCCTATCGTCGAAAATAAGAATGAATCGAGGAAAAATGGCGGCCATTTTATTTCATTTTATTTAGAAAATAGACCACGTGACCAGATTTTATACTGTTAAAAAATACTGTTACCTATGTAACAGTACAAAATTGTTAGTCACGTGGTACACTTGCATTAACAGTAAGAATAACTCCCTGAGGCCTATGGGAAATTAACATTATGAAAAAAGTGAGGGGTAATAATATTTTATGTTTGAACAGTGATATTTGTGTCATTCCTATCATGAATGTTTTTTTTTAACATCTTTCAAAGCATAATTTTCTAAAATCAACTTAACACAATCTAACATATATATAACACATTTGTGAGCAGGTCACCCAGGTAAGATGACTTGTAAGACTGATCCTACCAAATTGGCAAAGTGCTTTTCACATCCGCTTTACTTAGCCTGTTTCTGCGTGCCATTGTATCGTCACTCAATAAAAGGTAATGTGCATCTGCACGATAAATTGTCGTATTGGCCATGTTGTACATACACTTACTTAGCTAAGTTGCAGTTAAATACTAAATGACTTTATCTTTGATAATGACTTGTAATTGTTACATTATGTATTTTCTACTATTGTTTTGAACATAGTTCATCTTTTTTGATGTTGTTTATGTATAAACTATCTTACTTATTTGACATCATATTTAGAGCTTTGTAAAAACATGTACATATAAGAATGTGTACGTTACTTAAAAATTTAATTGAACAACAGAAAAGGAAATAAATGATAATATGTTCGTATCTTTATTATTATGTTTAAGACATATATTTGTGTTTTGGTTTTCTCTACTTTTGTACTATAGTATCACCCATTTACTGTGATTCATTTCATACAGTCTTACCTCACATACATTATCATTTATGATATTTAATGATTGCTTTCTATTTATTGCATACTAATTATATTTGTTTTCTTCTGTGATATAATCGGATATGATTGAATATTATAATATTTACTTTTGTGGACTGCTTCTAAAACCTGCCTGATTAAAACTGTTAGGGCAATGTAATACCGTAAAGCATTTGCATTTAGAAGCCAGAAACGATTTTTGAATGGAAAATTTTATATAAAAGGCTTCCAGAAACCCTGATGAAAGTTTCGGTGTTGATGTTGGCACTTCTTACGTTACATTTTTGTACTTGTGTGTTTCGGGCTGTATTTGTTTATTGAAACAATGACTTCAATTTGTTCATAGTTAAATACACCTACCTCAAATAACATTAAATGATTTCCATGTCTATAAAGTTTTATTTCCTAACCTTAATAAATCACCGCTCGTATTTTTAAAAAAAAATCCCCGCTAGGTCAAAGGGTAAATGTTTTGACATCATTTAAAGCACCATTTACATGTAATAAAAGTTATTATCTAGCGATATCCTATTGCCAATTATATTACAAAAATGTCGATAGTAATATCATGAAGGAATAAGGATGACTTTCAAAAAAAGTCATAATAAACCTGATTGCATTTGTGTGATGAATATCATCAGATGATATAGTCATCAAATGATGCAACAAAAAGTCACAATAAACTTGAATCAAATCATGCAACAAAAAGCCTTATGTATGGTAAAACAAGACCGTGAGATAACATGTATGTATGTCAATAAAAACATAAAATATTGTCAGATTTCTAGAACATCGACTTTGTCAAGTCCACGTAACTAACAAAGAAAAGAAAAACATTATTAGAGGGTGGAGCCACTGTTTTTATGAAAATCTTTGAAAAATGTAAAACACAGAAAGTTGCGTTAGTATTATAGAAATGTAAATAATACTTTGCAATACATTTATTACTCTGCCCCACATCATTGAAAAGGTTTAGTACCATTCACTTTCTTACAAAAGTAACGATGGCTGCTGAGCGAGGTATCACTATCACTGTGTATCTCCTGTGATAGCAAAAATCATGCAAGCTTGCTACATACGATACATTGATTTGAAGAAAAAGGTGCTTGTAAACATAATACTCCATTAAAATTGAATTGTACAGGCTTGCCGTAAATGATACTGTAACAGTGACTTTTTAAACAGGGTTACGTCAGACACAAGTTTGCACATCTTTCGCCATTATCACAATAAAAGACTGCAATTTATATTCAAAACAATAATCCCACTTATATCATTGTAAACTGTTTTGCAATGATTACCAAATAAAAATAAATACAAGCATACAAGCAAAAATTAGCATTAAAATGGTTTTAATTATATTTGTGATAAAGTGACTTTAATACCGACTATACGAATTTAAATTACAATACATGTACTTAAATTTAAAGTTCAAGCATCAAATAATAAAAAGTCCATCACCCATTGTTCAAAACCAGTAAGCCGAGTGTTTTTTCTCTCTCTAGGTTGAGACATATTTATTCAAGGTTATTTTCTTAGAGAATACACAAATAGAATACAAAATCATGATAAGTAGATAAATTTGACAGATATAATTAAAGCTCATTATGAATTAAGATATCTCCCGGATCTAAGCAATACAAATAGTTTGATATGGATTACAGGTAAATAACTTCATTTGAAGCCTCAAAACAGGTCTATGCATACCAGATTAGATATTTCAACATTATTTGCTAACTGTTGATAAGGTACGCAAACAATTGATGTTTAAAGGTTTGCTGTAACAAGGAAAGGGAGTAGAGAAAGAAAAATGATTGTTACAAGAGTGCAGCTATGGGATAGAGGGGATTTTTATGAATACGTTCGGTCTTAAAACATTTATTACTATCATTTAATAAGGAACACATTTTTTTCATAAATTTTACGTCAGAATTAAAATGGCACTACAGAAGATGTTTTGATTGCACAGAAATGTATCAAAATATCGACGGTCATCTTCATCTTTAATATTACAAGGTTGGAGATGGGAAATAACTCAGTACAAGCACATCTTTCAGTTGACACCTTCAGACATTGGAAAGCAAAACTGCGTTGATATGTAGGATATTAAGGCATTTTGGGGTTCATTTCTCAAGTTTTTACCGAAAAGTACGTTTGACCTCAAAGTGCGCTGTAAAGTTTAACCCACTTTTTGGTTAAAATCAAAAGTGTGTTAGACCGGAAATTACATATCTTGGGGATGTAATCAAATGTAGTAAAATATCATCTAATGGCATCGTATTTTTAAACAATCCTATTTCTTTTTAAATAACTTGAAACAAGTAATAAAAGTTAGAAGTAGCCTTTATTTGAACCACATGATATTGCTCATAAACACTTATACAATGTCAAAAATCATTAAAATTTAGACGAAAATATACAAGTATTTTATAAAAGAAAATACTTGATCAGCAAATGCCTGTAAGTAAATGTACTCGTAAAAATGTTAATGAGTTTTACGTTATCAGGTTTCAGTCATGCTATTTCATGAAAGTATTTGTAGGGTATTGTTATTAAAATTTAATGTTAAGTATTCTTATATAATAGAAGTTTTATGTCTGCAATGACTTATTTTCAAATTTTCAATTTGTGGCTATTTGAGACGCCATATTTGGACGAGTAAAAGTCAATGTAGACTTAATTTACATTACGATACATTTTAAATTCTGAATTAATGAAATCTTATGAAGTATTATGGTCATTTATTGATTATTGTAAGGTTTTACAAAATGTTTCTGTTTCATGTACCACTGGAAATGCTGCTATTTTGAAATGACCAACATATCAGAAAAGAGATAAATTTCATATTTTCCAAAAATTACCTTAAAACGCATTTAAAAAATAATCCCTGCCATAAATGGACGTGATTTCCATCTCAAATATGCACTTATAATCTTGATGTGGATGACATATTCTTATTTTTCGGTATCAATCTTGGAAGCCATTTTAAATGTTTTATTTTTTCCAGTAGTGCAGTATGGTACTCCTGAATTCTTTTCGATGCAAGTCTTTTTACAATATTCAACAGAGAAAATAATAAAAATAATATAGAAATATTACAGCCCGCTCCTTGAATTAGGCTTAAAATAAGTAAATTCTTGATTTTAATAGATCGTCAGCCAGATAGGGGACAATGGTATAAAGGTCCGGATTTTAATTACGAGACCGCTACTACCATCGAAACACAACGCTAATTCATGGACAAAGCTCAAATACTATGTTATTTGATGTACTATTAAACTCAACAAACATCATATATATTTATATATATTT